CTCTCTGCTGGCCTTGATTGTTCCTGAAAACTGTCCCATCTGAGGACTGTTTTACTTGCTGTTCTCTTTGCCTGGAGAGGTAGGGGTGCAAATGGGGGTGGGCTTACTATTGGGGTCAGGGTGAGGATCTGGTCTGAAGTTCACATTTATTTGCTCTGAATGGGTCTCATTATATGACCTGCTGGATGACACTGGGTCATGCTTGAGTGTCCTGGGAAAGGGATCCTTGGGAACATATGTATGGCCTGTGAGGACTGGCCTCCAAACATGGGGTTGTGCAGCATCAAGGCTTTTGCCATTGGTTGGAGGCTTTATGTGCCATTGGAGTGCCTTGGTGGCCTGGGAGGAGCAGAGGTCAAGGTGCTTGGTGGGTGGGGGCAGCGAGAGCCTGGGTAGAGGGAATTTTTACCCAGTTTGCAGATGAGGAAAGAAACTGAGGCTCAGAGAGGTTGGGGGGTGGCCCCAGCTGGTGACGGACAAAGGCAGGACTCGCACCCAAGTCTGCTGGCTCCTAAGTTGCGGGGCGGGGGGGGGAGTGATCCCCGGGCAGCAGCTTTTGGTGAGACCAAAACAGAGATGGACACAGATGGCCCGTGAGGTGGGTCCGGACAGGGTGGCAGAGCTGATGACCTTTGCCAAGACAGACGCCTTGGGATAAAGCTGGGCCTGGGGTGGGGCCCAGTTCCTGCAGCTGCGAAGGGAACCTAGGGGTCGAGAGAGAAAGTGAAGCCCTCAAGAGAAGCAGGACATGATAGGGTCAGGTGAGGGTGAGCCTGCCCTCTCCGGTGAGGCCCAGCCCCACGTCCACCGTCCACCTGTGAATAGCACCAGATCGAGTATCTGCCTTCCTCTTCCCTCCCCCCAGCCTGCCCTCCTCCTCTGCCACCTCCCCCTTCATTACCTGGCCTGGCCTACGCCTCAGTGCACCCACTCAAAGGGCCTAGGCTAATCCCCTGACATCACTGTCTGCCTAGCACAGGCCCCTTCTGGCAGCCCTGGCAGCTCCTGGCCTCTGAGACCCGATTTAGGATCCCCCACCTCAGAGCCCATCTTTCCTTCCACCTCCTCCCTCTTTCAGCTCACAGGTCCGAGGGGACAACCCAGAAAGGGCCCAAGCTGGGGGGCAGGAGTCTAGGATCTATTCTGGCCTTGCTGTGTGACTCTGGGTAAGTAGCTGTCCCTCTCTGAGCCTCAGGCTCCTTATCTAAATCTCCTCACCCCTCTCCCCCCAAACTAATCACATCAACCTATTTTGGCTTCTTCTTAGCACTTTGTTGCTTCAGGAAAAAAAAAAATTTTTTTTTTTTATCAGTTCACATGGTTGTTGTGAATTCTGGGCTGTGTACCCTGTGAGGCAGGGCCATTTTATGATTCGCCCTGGTACCAGCACACAGTAGAGGTTCCATCAGTATCTGCTGATTGAATGTATACAGGATGAATGAATGAACAGATGTATCTCCTGCCTTTGCAAGAAGGGTATGGGCCTTTTTCCTCCAGACTAGGGAAGAAGGTAGAGCAATATTCCATCCCCTGACTGGATAAAAGCAGGGTAGGGGTCTGCCTGAGCACTCTGACCTAGAGGGTGGGCAGGCGCTGAGAACTCAACAATGCTCCCTTATGGAGAGACTGGGAAAGCTCTGAAGAAGGACCAGAACCCAGCACCTATCTCCCCATACCCCTCTCTGCCACAAGGCTTCCCCAGCTAGAAAGGGTCTTAGGTGTGTGTCTAATGTATCTGTTATGTGCTGTGTTTGGGCAGAGGGCAGCCACTGGCCCAAGATCTTCCAGAACAGCAGAGACTAAAACGTGGCTAGATCTCAGGACATCAGACCTCCTGCTGCATGTGTGTCTGTGTGCACACACGTGACCATGGTGTGTGAACACCCCGTATCTGTACATGTCTGCTCTGCACACGTGCCTCTGGCGGGGCCCCTGGGTGTGGCTATGTGTTCACCTGTCTGCATGCATCTTTACGGACACATCTGCACTTGTGTGTCAGACTCTCCCTGTGTAACATGTGTAGGCCTGGCAGGGTGTGTGTGATTCAGTATACGTGTAGGCACGTCCATTAGAGTGTCAGCTCCCTGAGGGCAGAGGGTTTTGTTGGACGTGTTCCGGTCCTATCCGAGCACCTGGAACAGGGAGCAGCACACAGCACACGTACTTAAAAGAATGAACGTATGCAAGTGTGCTCACACGTCTGGCGTGTGCTCATGTGCCAGCCTGTGCGTAGACGTGCACGTGACCCTGTGTCTAAGGGTGTACCTGGGTGCTGCTCACGTGCCACCATCCCATGCCTCTTCCAAACTCCTCGGAGTGGGGGAGCCGGGGCTCAATGCCCAATGCACGGTCCCCGTGGGGCGGGGCAGGGGGCCGCCTCCTCAAGAGAAACTGGATCCCAGGACGTGCGGAGCAGCAGGGAGCAGGGCGGCCCCTTTGTCCCCCGATAATCCCCTCCCCGCCTTTGACCCCTCCCTCCCAGCCACCAGGGTTTAAGGTTGAGTTTGGGGGCTGTAGGGGACTAGGGTGTCACCTCAGTGTCCCCTTCTCTGCCTGTCCCTTGCTTCTGGGGCTTCTGCACCTGCGCCCCTGACACACACACCCTCCAGGGTGTGACTCCCTCTTGGGCGGCCTCAGGGCTCAGCCCAGGTATAAAGCCACCCGAGGGGCAGGCGGACAGGTGCACCAGAAGAACCCAGAGACTGGAGAAAGGAAGGAACCAAGGAGAGAGCATGAGCTGTCTGCTAGGTGAGTGAGGGGGAGTGCCAGGGTCTAGAGAGCAGGAGGGAAGGGGGTACTCACTGGCCCCTCGGCCCATATGACTCCTGCCCTGGCTGTCTGCATGCTAGGAACCTCCAAATCCTTACATGCAGAAGGCTTCATTCATCATTCATTACTTCATTCAAGAGATATTTATTGAACGCCTATTATGTGCTGGGTAGTTTTCTAAGCATTTGGGGACACAGCAGTGAACAGACAAAAATCTATGGTCTCATGGAGATTTCATTCTATAGACAGATGCTACAAGGCCTAAGTAAGGAAATTATAATGGCTGTGTGATCACAGGTGAGTGCCATGTCCCAAGTTTGTTGAATGAATGGGTGAATGAATGGGCCTTCACTTTCAGTCTTCTCTTCCCTTAAGGTCTGAATTTAGGGAACTCGGGAATGCAGAAAGGGGAACAAAGGAGGCCTCTCCCCTCCCTTGCTTCCTCCTGGTGACCTTAGGTAATTCCTCTCCTCCCCGAACCTCACACTGGGAACATAACTGGGCCTACCCTTTAGAGGAACAATTTGCAGCATTTCCTCAAATTTAAAATGAGCACATCCTCCAATCCAGATATTCCCACTTTGAAAAGTGCCCAAAGAGCCTGGGGTAAGGATGTTCATGGCAGCATTCATTCATTCACCAATTATTTATTAAGCTCTGTGCTAGGTGCTGGGACCAGCAGCAAATGAACCAGGGGAAGTTTCTCCTTTCCTGGAGCCACCATTCTAGGGGGAGAGACAGAAACAATCAAGTAGACAAAGAAATAAATGAAATAGCAAATCTCTGAAGACCATAAATCAGGGAGAGGAAGGGGCTTTTGGGATGCAGTCAGGACAGCTTATCTGAATTGAGGCCTGAAGAACAAGACGGAGCCAGCCTTGGGAAGGTTTGGGGTGGTCCTGTGGCCCCAGCAAGGGCCAAGGCCTGAGGGGGAATCCTGTAGAGCAGGTGGGAAGCCTATATGGAGGGTTAGCCTTGTAGGCCACGGGGCTTTGCCTTACACACTTTCACTGTGTAAGGTGGGAGCAGAGGGAGCGTTCAGGCAGAGAGAGGAGGGATTTAGTTGGACTGAGGGAGTTGGGGGGTGGAAACTAAGGGTGAAAGCAGAGACCAGGGGTGAGGCTGCTATAATAGTCCAGGTGAGAAGTGCTGGTGGCTGGGACTCAGGTGGTAGCAATGGAAGGAGGGAAAAGGAAGTGGATGCTGGATACATCTTTTCAAGTTTTAAAACTTTTTATTGAAAATAACAAATAGAAAGGTGTACAACTCATTAAGTGTACAGCTCGATGAAGTTTTCACAAAGTGATCATATCCTCGTCATGAGCACTCAGATCAAGAAACACAGACCTGCACTGGCTACCTTTTAAGGACAGAGTCTATAGGATTTACCGTGGGGGTGAATGTGGAGAGCAAGAGAGAATGAGGCATCAAAGAGGGGACTCCATGTTTTGACCTGAGCAACTGGAAGAACAGAAGCGGCTTTGGCTCAAATGGGGAAAACTAGGGGAAGAGGCTAGAAGGGGAATCGAGAGTGAGTATTAGATATTTTGAGTTGAGAATCTTATTAATATCCAAGGGAAAGTGTCAAGCAGGAAGGTGAACACATGGGTCTGGAGTTCAGGGGAATGTTCTGGCTGGAAATAATCTATTTACAGGGTGATTCTGCCCAGACTTGGATACACAAGGCTGTTGCAGGCTACAAAGTCTGTGGCCACTTGAGGAATTGTTACAAAGAATGAATGAACCGGGGCACCTGGGTGGCTCAGTTGGTTAAGCGTCTGACTCCTGATTTCAGCTTAGGTCATGATCTCATGGTTCGTGAGTTGAAGCCCCACGTCAGGCTCTGCACTGACAGGGTAGAACCTGTTTGGGTTCTCTCTCCCTCTCTCTTTGCCCTTCCTCTGCTCTCTCTCAAAATAAATAAATAAACATTAAGAAAAAAAGAAAGAATGGGGGCGCCTGGGTGGCTTAGTCGGTTAAGCGTCCGACTTTCGCTTAGGTCATGATCTCGCGATTCGTGGGTTCGAGCCCCGCATCGGGCTCTGTGCTGACTGCCAGCTCAGAGCCTGGAGCCTATTTCAGATTCTGTGTCTCCCTCTCTCTCTGACCCTCCCCTGCTCACGCTGTCTCTCTCTCTCTCTCTCTCTCTCCTAGAAATAAATAAAAATATAAAAAAAAAAAAAAAGAAAGAAAGAATGAATGAACCAGCAGGTAGGCTCAGGAATGTGATCTGACCTCCGATTTCCTCTGGCAGCCCCCCTCTGCCTGCTGACGCTGCTGCTGCCACCCCTCAGGCCGGGGGCCCCCATTTCCCCAGCTGAGCCCATCAGTCAAGCCTACAGCCTGGCCCTCTACATGCAGAAGAATACGTCAACATTGCTGCAGACTTACGTGAGTGACACTGGGGACAATCAGGGGATGAAGGGAGGGGGAAACTGACCTCCTGACCCAGCCCTAAGTAGGAGAAGCAGAGCAAGTCCGGGAGAAGGCTCCACCATGAGTCTGAGGGTACAGGCGCTCTGTCAACTAGACTCACTCAAACACTGTCACTGGTGGCTGGTGACCTTGGGCCAGTCATTCCTTCCCTCTCTCTCTCTCTCGGTGGGTCTCAGCTTCCTCATCTGCGAAATGGAATTGTGATCCTGCTTCTGCAGATTTTCAGGACTGTTACAAGATTCAAAGACAGCACATACAGAGAAAGGCTTTACAGGGTCATAATTGTTTCTACAATCACCACGTGCTAGGTACTTACTTGAGCCACGTGCTATGCTGCGCACTCAGCCCGTTATCTTGCTGATTCTTCAAACAGTTCTGAGAAAGAGAATTAGAATCCACTTTACAGATAAGGAAACTGAGTTTTAGAGAGGGTGAATAATTTGCCTAAGGTCACACAGCTAATCACTGGCAGTGCCAATCCTCCCGCACCACCCCCACACTGTCTATAAGTTCAAACTAGCAGCATCCTGCTAGCTGAATCTGACCTAACAGATGTTTTCTGTTTGAGCCATGAAATACTTGTTCAAATTTTGAACATGACCGCCTGTCTAAAACAGGCACAGGGACCCTCCTGGCCCTTCCTCACCCCATCTTGGCTCTGTCTTCTTCCTCCAGTTACACAATCCACCTGGTTCCTGGAGGCCCTAGGATTTGTGACTCCTCCCCTGTGCAATATTCCAGGCCCACATGAAGTTACTAAATCTAGTTTCGGGTCCCCTAGCTCCTGCCATTCCCTGGGTAGCTTTGGGCACCCTGAGCCTCAGTTTCTCCACCTGTAAAATAGTGATGGAGGACTAGGGAGGCTATCAATTTGGGGATTTATCAGTGTGCACTAAGATTCTGTGGGTCTAAGTTTATGGCGGCAAGAACTTTATTAGAGAAGGCACTCGACTAAATTGAATAATGTTAACAATTGTTTATTAACGATTATGATAAAATCAATAAGCATAAACTAAATGCTATAAAGATACATATAGACTATAACTACATTACCAATGATATATTTAGACTGAAAATAGTATAATAAGTAACATAATCATAGTGTCATGATATTAATGTAATATAGTGGCTTATTGTGCCCTTATTGTATGCCAGGTGGTGGGCTAAGTGCTTTATATATATTACTTCTGATCATTTTCACAATGATACTGACGCATGGGAATTACTGAAGCCGTGATTCAAAATTGTACAATTTGTACCTGAAACCGGAACCTAATAGAGCCCAGGGTCTGTGCTAGGACATCCCACTAACCCCTCCCCCTGGGAAGATGTCAGGCTTATAGAAGGCAGATGTGAAGTCAGTACCACTTAAGTCCCCTCATTCCATTCTGTCTGTTTCTCATGCAGCTCCAGTACCAGGGCAGTCCTTTTAGTGACCCTGGCTTCTCAGCCCCTGAGCTTCAGCTCAGCAGCCTGCCTCCTGCCACCGTCTCCTTTAAGACTTGGCATGCCCTGGATGATGGGGAGCGGCTGGGCCATGCCCAGGGGGCCTTCCTGGCCTTAACCCAGCACCTCCAGCTCGTAGGAGATGACCAGAGAGACCTGAACCCTGGCAGTCCTATTCTACTGGCTCAGCTCGGAGCTGCAAGACTCAGGGCCCAAGGCCTACTGGGCAACATGGCTGCCATCATGACTGCGCTGGGCCTGCCCATCCCCCCAGAAGAGGATACTCTCGGTGTTGTCGCCTTTGGAGCTTCAGCCTTTGAGAGGAAATGTCGAGGCTATGTCGTGACCCGGGAATACGGCCACTGGACAGACCGAGCTGTGAGGGACTTGGCTCTGCTCAAGGCCAAATACCCTGGATAGAGGAGGCAGGACTTCCTGTCAGAGGCTGCAACACTTTTTTCCCAATGGACTCTCTCCTGCCTTGCTTCTTGGCTAACGGACACATCTTGACTAGCAGACAGGGCTTGTTTATGTGGGAATACTTCCTAGGAACCAGGCCTCAAGTGCCTATTGCCTGGGCCTTTCCTGCCTAGGTCCTATGGGCTCCTTCCCAGATCTGGGTGAGACTCTATGGGTATCATTTTGTGGTTTCTTTCAATCCAGTGGTCCTGGCTGCCCCCATCTTGGGTGGAAGGAAGTGCTGGGGCTCTCCCCGAGACCTTTCTCTTCCTGTAATTTTGGGGAGGTCCAGGGGCTGCCTTTTTGTTTCTACCTCACTTCCTATATGAAGCTATGGGCTTCCTGAGCGCATAGGTCTCCTCTTCTTGCTGGAGTTCATTGCCTCCCCTAGTCTATTTCCCTGACTATAGCCACTGTTCCAACTTTCCATCTTGAGGGACTTCACTTCCTGATCAATGGAAGTCCAATTGAAAAAGTAAGGACTCCTATAGATGTTTCCAGCTCGGGACACATCTACTTCCTGTTCTAGAGTGACAGATGAGATCCCTGGCCTGGGGGCGTTTGCGAATCTCCTATTTATACTGAGGCTTTTGGGTATGTCTGGGGAACCAGGTTGTGCCCCAAGGATCCTATTCGCCTCAAAGGTGTCTCCCCATTTTCGACAACTATATATACTGGTAACTTTGGTGTTCTTTTTTATTTTTAAACATTTTATTTACAAAAAATTAATTTATTCTCAGGAATGAAACTCGTGTAAGGTGTTGATTTTTTTTTCTCTCCATAGATTTGGCTTGGGGTGGGGGGGAGATAGGGAGTAGGGCAGATGAGGTGAAGGAGGGGAAGGACATCAAACGCAAAAGCAAGCAGGGCTCACCCAAAGAGCAAGGATGGGGGAGGGAGAGTGCATCAAGGGGAGTGATGTGGGAAGGTGGCTGAAATCTGTCTGGAGTAGCCCTCCCACCAGGGCTGGCAGCCAGGTCCCTGGCCAGGAAAGGACAGAGAGAGGCACTGAAGGAAAGAGTTGATGAGGTGTCCCCTCCTTGAGATGAGACTGCGAGGTACACATGCTCACATGGGGCCAACGGAAGACAAGAGATGGAGAAAAGGGGAAACAAAGAGAGCTGCCCCCAGAGACAGGTGAAGGGGGAGACCAAGACACGGAGGCGGGCCCAAGCGACGGAGAAGAGGGGAAAAGCAAGAAAATGATGGACACGGGACGTCACAGACACAAGGAGGTCCGACAGGGAAAGAGACACGGAGCGCTTACAAAGCACAGAGAGATGGCAGAGACAGAGGGATGCAGGCAGTCGGAGCTCATCAGGCACTGACAGAGACGAACGAGGAGGGGGTGACAGCAAGCTGCAGCCCCGCGCTCAGGCCGGGCCACTGGGCACCAGCTGGCCCAGGTCGCCCTCGGTTCGGCTCACCCACTCGTGGTAGAGGCCGCACACGCGGAGCCCCAGAACCTTGGCAGGGAAGACGCCTGCGCCGGTGGCGGTGGCGGCGGCGGCGGCAGCGGCGGCGGCGGCGGGCTCGGTCCGGGGCCCGCGAGTCTCGGTGCCCAGCGCGGCCAGCACGGCCTCCACCGCGGCGCCCAGGGCCCGGGCCTGGCGCGCCGCGTCCTCCAGGCGCCGCAGCAAGCGCGGCGCGCGCGGGTTCAGCTCCGCCTGGTGGCGCCGCACCACTTCGAGCAGCGGTGGCAGCGCGATCAGCGCCGCCGCATCCAGCCGCAGCCGCTCGGGCGCGGGCAGGCCCGCGTGGCCCGGTGCCGGGGCGCTCAGGCCGACTACTGGCAGCCGCGGGGGCGAGAAGCCGGGCAGCCCGAAGGGTTCTCCCTGGTGCTGCACCTGCGGAGACACGGCAGTCAGGTGGGGTCCCCCCACCCCCTCACGAGGGGCGCCGCGACGGAATTTCTCCACTCTCCACTCCCCTCCCTCCCCCCCTCTCTCTCTCTCTCTCTCTCTCTCTCTCTCTCTCTCTCTCTGGGGCCTTAGTTTCCCCACCTCGCAAATAACACATTCCTCCCAACACAACGGTTGTGTTTGATACTACAACACGACCACAAAAAAAGTGGGCTTTACACCAGTGCCTTTGTTTCCTCATCTCTAAAATGGAGACAACAGTATCAACTCCATAGGGTAATTCGGATCATGGTAAAATGCTTCCAGATCCTGGCCCACTGGAAGGGCACAATAAATGTTAGCTCTTTTATTAACACCATCTTTCAGACCGGGGTGCAAATCCTGTCTCCACCACTTGCTAGCAGTGCAGTTTCATGCAAAACCAGTTCCCTTCTCTGAGTCTCGTTCTTCTCATCTGTAAAATGGATCAGCTCCCTGTCCTTTTCTTCTACCAGGGATTTCCTGAGAATCACAGATACTGCAGAAAACCGGCTGTTTCTCTCTCTCTCCCCATCCTCCACTACCTCTGCATCTGCAGTGGCTCACTGAATAACTGTCATGTGAATGAACAAATGAAAGATGAAGGAGATTTGTAATCTGTAAACATGCTACAACTGTACCATTTATCTTTTGCTAACATTTTGTCTCTGGTTCAGGCACTGTTTGCTGCTTTAAACACTATTTCCTAATCTTCCCAATAATGGGTGTGATGATTATGATGATGCTGATTTTATAATGGAGGATATTGAGGCTGACGAGGTAAACTGACTTGCCCTAGGTCATCCATCTAGGAAAGGACAGAGCTGGATTTTGAACCAAAGTTCATACAACTACAAAGCTAGTTCTCTTATCCCACTTTCATAATTGTTACATCATTCTTTTTTCATGTTACCAGTACTGCCCAAGGTCACAGCAAGTTAGCAGACCTATAGTCTATCTGATTCAAAACTACACCTTCCTTCCACTATACCAGAGTAATTGGTGGAAATAACCTCCTTCCTTGGGCAGGGCCCTATGCCTAACCAAAGAGGTTGGCAGATTTCCTTCTTCTGTAAAAGTCCCCTCTTGGACTGGAATTTTCGCCCCATGTTGAAACCCCTTCTTGATCTCTCTGCAGAGCACAGGCAGAAGAGTTTACAACTCATCATGTTAAACTGCCTCCTTTCATAGTTGGGGAAACCAAGGCCCTTAGAGGTGAGGTGACAAGATCACAGAGAGCCTAGAACCTAGGTTTCCTGACTCACTCACTCAATTCTCTTTACTCTCTCTGCCTCTGTCTTAGTGCAGTATGGGGGGAAACTCCAAGCTGAGGCAGACAGAGGGGCACTTGGGGCACAGAGAGGGTCCAGTTCTCCAATTTGCTGTGTGGCCAGGAGCCCGGTTTTCTGCAGCTGGGAAATGAGGCTGGAAAAATGGGTGGTCAGGAACCTCTGTGACCTGTACCTCCCCACTCCTCAGGCCTCGGGCACCCCCACCCCCATTCCCACTCACATATTCCTGGAGCAGCTGCTCAGCATATTTGGTGAGGAGGCGGGCAAGGCTGTGTGTCTGACGGATCTTGGCCTCCAAGTGGGGAAGGGGTGAGATTGAGGAGTCAGCCTGTGGGTCTTCTGGTGGGAAAAAAGGGAGGAATGAGAGCAGCCCAAATCCCTGCTCCTTGACCACTTCTTCCAGGCTGGATCTTCTTCTGGAATCCTGAAGCTCTGCTCTGAATTTTCTAACTTTTATTTTTTATTATTTTTTTTAAAAATATTTTTATTTATTTCTAGGAGAGAGAGAGAGACAGCGTGAGCAGGGGAGGGTCAGAGAGAGAGGGAGATACAGACTCTGAAATAGGCTCCAGGCTCTGAGCTGGCAGTCAGCACAGAGCCGGACGCGGGGCTCGAACCCACGAACCGTGAGATCATGACCTAAGAGAAAGTCGGACGCTTAACCGACTACGCCACCCAGGCGCCCCTGAATTTTCTAACTTTTAAGCCAGACAGGCTCTGTCCCATTCCAACTGATGGTAAATGAGGCATCAGACATTCGCCACAAACAGTTGTCCTACCTGAAATGTATTCTCTGACCCCCAATCACTGTTGAAATCCTATTAAAGCCAAATTCAAATATTGCCTCCTCAGCGCATCCTCTGTATTCATCCCTCCCTTAAATTAACTTTTTCTTTTACTTTAGGCCATTTGTTCATGCTTCCAAGGTAGTTTTTTAAATGGCTCCTTTATTTGTGTGAATCTGCCTCAGTCTGGGAGCCCTTTGAGGGTAAGTTTCACATATCTCGGTACATCAGTGATTGTTGGTGAAATTTAACATCACTGAAGCATAGAATTTCAAGTCGGAAGCTCTTTTAAGCCCATTCTACACATTGGGAGACTGAAGTCCCATTTCCTCCCCAAAGGACCTCCTGTGCAAAAAGCTAGATACCTGCCTTTCCTAGCGTAGGCTAGAGAGGGGAGCCCGGGAAGGATGACTACATTTCCCGAGATGCTCAGCGCGCGTACCAAGGCATGATGGGGACTGCAGTCCTGGCCCGGCAACTCCCGCCCCGCCCCCTCACCCCAACCCTGAGTTTCCCACCGCCTGTCCCTATCCTTAACTTTCGTCTCCTGTTGTTACTCACTAGCCCCTGTGGTCCAAAGACTTCCTTCCCTAACTCCATCTTTCCCTCTGGCCCCTAACTCTTATTCTTTCCCAATACTCAGAGAGGACCCAGGCGTCCAGCCCCAGCTCCCCGTCCTCTCTCTCAGGGTGTACTCGAACCCATGATTTAGAAACCCTGAGCCCAAGTCCCTGTGAAGGCACAGCCCAGGCCTCCCCTAAACTCTGGCTCTTGTCCCTTCCCACAGCTCACCCACAGCTCACCCGCTCGTTACCTGACACCGGGGCCCTGCTCTCCCCAGTTCAGGCCGCTCCCTTCCCGGACCCGGGGGTGGCTGGGACCCTGACCCCAGCTTCCAGCCCTTCAGACCCCTGCTCCCCACGGGCACTCGGCATCCGGCCCTTCAGCCCCTTACCCAGACTTCCCTCCCTCCGGCTCATGCTGGCCCCTGGCTGATCCCCGTT